CAGGGATCATGAAATTCACAATTTTTGTTCCCCTTCACCCATAGATGCTTTGTGCCAAATCTGGTTGAAATCAGTTCAACGGTTTCAGAGAAGAAGCTGAAAATGTTCAAATATTAACACACAACGGACGACGTCGGACGAAAACGGATAGCAATAGGGGACCTGAGTTTACTCAGGTGACCTTAAAATAAGTAGATATTAACTAGTCTGTCACAGTACTAGATCTCTCTATACAAAAATAAGTCGATATTAACTACAAGTCTGTCACAGTACTAGATCTCTCTGTACAAAAATAAGTAGATATTAACTACGAGTCTGTCACAGTACTAGATCTCTCTATACAAAAATAAGTAGATATTAACTAGTCTGTCACAGTACTAGATCTCTCTGTACAAAAATAAGTAGATATTAACTACAAGTCTGTCACAGTACTAGATCTCTCTATACAAAAATAAGTAGATATTAACTACAAGTCTGTCACAGTACTAGATCTCTCTATACAAAAATAAGTAGATATTAACTACAAGAGGCCCACGGGCCACATCGCTCACCTGAGAAGCTTTGACCATTCTGTTCTTTACCAGATTTCCCCCTTTAAATACATACTGCGACCCCTACCCCACTGATCATAATTTAGACATTTTGAAATCTACACTACCCCAGGATGCTTCCATGTGCACATAAGTTTTAGCTTTTCTGGCCCAGTGGTTCTTGAGAAGAAGATTTTCAAAGATTTTTCCTATATATTTCTATGTAAAACTTGGATTTCCCATTGTGGCCCCGCCCTACCCCCGGGGGGTCATGATTTGAACAATTTAGAATCTACACTACCCCAGGATGCTTCCACATAAGTTTCAGCTCTAAGGGCCCAGTGGTTCTTGAGAAGAAGATTTTTAAAGATTTTTCCTACATATTTCTATGTAAAACTTGGATTCCCCATTGTGGCCCCGCCCTACCCCCAGGGGTCATGATTTGAACAATTTAGAATCTACACTACCCCAGGATGCTTCCACATAAGTTTCAGCTTTTCTGGCCCAGTGGTTCTTGAGAAGAAGATTTTTTAATGACCCCACCCTATTTTTGTCTTTTCTTGGTTATCTCCCCTTGTGAGGGGACTTGGCCCTTCATTTTAACAATTTAAATTCCCCTTCACCCAAGGATGCTTTGTACCAAGTTTAGTCAAATTTGGCCCAGTGGTTCTTGAGAAGAAGTCGAAAATGTGAAAAGTTTACAGACGGACAGACAGACAGACGGACGGACGGACGACGGACAAAATGTGATCAGAAAAGCTCACTTGAGCCTTCGGCTCAGGTGAACTAACAAGTCTGTCACAGTACTAGATCTCTCTGTACAACATCAGTTAGATATTAACTACAAGTCTGTCAAAGAATCAGTGAATCAATGATAACTCTACAAGATTTTCTGGTTTATGCTTTATGTACCTTATTTTCAATAAATATAGAAGAAAATGTAAATCTGTTATACCGGTACTTGTATTTGGCGTTAACATTTGGCGGAAATGTTTTTTTTAATAAGTTAGCGTAGATTTGATTTTGTGCTATCTGAATGTGCTAGATCTATATAAATGTATGATTCACAAGACATTTAGCAATGTACTTGATTACGTGGATTCTGCTTTCTGCCAAAAACACAAACAGAATACACCGTTTCACCGCTAAATGTAATATGTTTACCGTATTCTTGTTGTCAATTGATAGTGCATGTAACCCTACTGTAGGAGATAACATATACTGTATGATTTACATAACAGCATTAATCTTACCTTGACTTGTGCTTGGTTGGGAAGGTCCAGTCTCCTCTGCGTCATTATCAAGAGATTCTAATAACAAGAACTGGTTTGTACTCTCTTTCTTATTCTGAAAGTAAATCAACATTGTACATTACAAGTACCCCAATATATAAAATTAGACTATCAAAAACGAAACTCAAATTTATATGCAAAGTACATGTAAATTTATAAAATCAAGTATGCAGAGGACAAAGTCTTTATTGCATTTTATTTTGGGAATATCTTTTTTTTTTTTAGACTTTTGGAGATTTTTTCATACTGTTTTGTTTCAAACAGAAGTAATTTTATCTATAAACTTCATTTCTACACACCTTTCTAGTTTGTTCCACCTGTGGCTCTTTTTCTGACTTTTCCAGCTTCTTTCCTTCAAACCATTTCAGGTCAGTGAATACTTCACTGAATTTATCCACGTCATACTGGAGAAAATGAACCACATGTTTATAATAAAGATACTGGTCTAATGTAACAAGACGCCCATTACCCACAACGCCTCATCAGTGACACAGGGTAAATATAGCATAATACAGAATTAAATGTATTCATCACATAAGAAAATTCTTCCCCTAAAAATAGGTATTATATAAGAACCTTAAAAACAGATGCAATAAAATAAATTCACACAATTTCATTGAAATATGAGCTAAAACATTTAAGATATATGTAGAAATAAAGCGAAAGTTTTACACAATAACTTTTAACAAACAAAATAATTCATGCAACACAAAAACACTACCTTTGCTAGTTCATTCATAAACTTCTCAAATCTCTCAAGGTTCAAATGGCCACCTTCATTCATGTACCCTAAAATAGGTCAAAATTATACACTTTTAGCTAGATCTAGTATCCTCTACCTTGGTATTTACAGAATTAAAGTGAAAAAACATGATCAAGAAACCTTTCTTTCAATAAATTTCACTGCACAGTTGATAAATTATTTGAAGAGAAAAAAAAAAACATTTGAAAGTCACATATTGTTTTAATATCTGACTCACCTCCACATTCTGGGAGGATGGTCATGTAGGTTTTCCAGAGAGTGGGGAGGGCATCATGTTGTATGTGGAGGTGGGGGAGATGGGGGATAAAGTCGTTTCCCACCAGGAACCCCATCAAAATCCAGTCATCTATGATCTTCTCCAAGTCATAACCAAAGGGCAGTTTACCCTACATAAAACAAGATAAACTAGAACTGTCCAATAGGGACAAATACCCCCGCTGGGTTTTTCAGAGTAGGTGCCAATTCAGAAATATTTTATGGATCTAGTAAGAGGTGTTCACTACTGTCTAATAAAGTGCCCCGTCACAGCATGATACGCCCATCAAATATTGTTCAATAATCATAAATTGGTTAAAATATTGTACATATACATCTCTAAGAGACTTACAGTGTAGGGATTAATTAAAACAAATAATAGATCATATAATTCTAAACTGGCTGTGTTAGAGCTTAAAATATATTCATCTGCAGCTTTAAATTGTTTATTGCATATTTTATGAATTAATGGAAAGGCTACAGTCTAATTAAAAAAAAATCAAAAATTAATTATTCTTTAGACTATAAAATTTTAAGTGAGACATGACTGCAATTTGTTGAAAATATATAAAAATTGAAATGAAATTTTTTTTTCTCAATGAACACATTTTTAATTAATTTTAATTATATTATACAATACTAATTCAGTTTTAATCATACACTAAAACATCAATTTGTTTTAATTACATTACACCAATTGAAAGATCTTTATCTGAACTACAGTCATCAAGAACTCTTAAGTAACTATAAGGCCATTTCTTTTTGCCCAACTCCCAAGAGATAAATTAAGATAATACTGCATGATGCTCTTGCCAGTTAACTCCCGACAGTGAACTCATTAATTTCTCTCTAATTTGACATGCACATTTCTGCTATCAAAAATTCTCCTTGACCAGTGCTTGATAATTATGCCCATGGGACAAACTGAATTCCTCTCAAATCATTAACATTTGTTACAGAATTTGCTATAAAGTATATGATGAAAAAATAAGTTTTTACTGAATTTAACATTTTTTAATAAGGATACAACTATATTTTTACATTCTTTAGGATTATGAAATTTAACATTTTAAAGACTTAGTTTTTTTTAAAATATCACTTAAATTAAAGGTCACAGTGACCTTGAAATAGGTCGTGACACATCGTCTACCCAAGATGCATAAATTGTCCAAGTTTGATGATTGTAAGCCTAATAGTTTTCTAGTTATGAGCCAAACAAAATCACAAAATAAAAAAGAAAAAATGCCTGTAAAATGCAGAAAAATCATCCAATCATGATGAAAATCCCAGGTGCACACCTTCATATGGTGAATAATAAGTGTATAAATTTTCAGACAAATCCATCCAAGAGTTTCTGAGAAATGGTCCGGACAAAATCTTGTCTACAGACAGACGGACAGACGGACATGGTGATTCCAATATACCCCCCTAAACTTATAGGTCGTGACACATCGTCTACCCAAGATGCATAAATTGTCCAAGTTTGATGATTGTAAGCCTAATAGTTTTCTAGTTATGAGCCAAACAAAATCACAAAATAAAAAAGAAAAAATGCCTGTAAAATGCAGAAAAATCATCCAATCATGATGAAAATCCCAGGTGCACACCTTCATATGGTGAATAATAAGTGTATAAATTTTCAGACAAATCCATCCAAGAGTTTCTGAGAAATGGTCCGGACAAAATCTTGTCTACAGACAGACGGACAGACGGACATGGTGATTCCAATATACCCCCCTAAACTTATAGGTCGTGACACATCGTCTACCCAAGATGCATAAATTGTCCAAGTTTGATGATTGTAAGCCTAATAGTTTTCTAGTTATGAGCCAAACAAAATCACAAAATAAAAAAGAAAAAATGCCTGTAAAATGCAGAAAAATCATCCAATCATGATGAAAATCCCAGGTGCACACCTTCATATGGTGAATAATAAGTGTATAAATTTTCAGACAAATCCATCCAAGAGTTTCTGAGAAATGGTCCGGACAAAATCTTGTCTACAGACAGACGGACAGACGGACATGGTGATTCCAATATACCCCCCTAAACTTATAGGTCGTGACACATCGTCTACCCAAGATGCATAAATTGTCCAAGTTTGATGATTGTAAGCCTAATAGTTTTCTAGTTATGAGCCAAACAAAATCACAAAATAAAAAAGAAAAAATGCCTGTAAAATGCAGAAAAATCATCCAATCATGATGAAAATCCCAGGTGCACACCTTCATATGGTGAATAATAAGTGTATAAATTTTCAGACAAATCCATCCAAGAGTTTCTGAGAAATGGTCCGGACAAAATCTTGTCTACAGACAGACGGACAGACGGACATGGTGATTCCAATATACCCCCCTAAACTTATAGGTCGTGACACATCGTCTACCCAAGATGCATAAATTGTCCAAGTTTGATGATTGTAAGCCTAATAGTTTTCTAGTTATGAGCCAAACAAAATCACAAAATAAAAAAGAAAAAATGCCTGTAAAATGCAGAAAAATCATCCAATCATGATGAAAATCCCAGGTGCACACCTTCATATGGTGAATAATAAGTGTATAAATTTTCAGACAAATCCATCCAAGAGTTTCTGAGAAATGGTCCGGACAAAATCTTGTCTACAGACAGACGGACAGACGGACATGGTGATTCCAATATACCCCCCTAAACTTCGTTTGCGGGGGTATAAAAATTTCATTCTGATGCATGTCAGTTGATATTAAATAGAATAAACATTTAAAGCATTCACTACTCTAAAGTACATGTATACAACCCCCCCCCCCCCAAAAGAAAGGGGGGGGGTCCTTTAAAAAATGCAGGTCATATGTATGAGACAATTTTTTAAAAGCAGGAAAATATGTAGTAAATATGATTAACAAACAATATCATATCAACAAATATCAGTACTAAAGGCTAAGAAAAGTGGCAAGAAAAATGGAGATTGAATTTAAATTCTATATAAATTATAAAAAACCCTCTACTTTAAAACAATTCTCTGATGAGAAAATAGAGCATCTAATCTATATACAGTATTACTTTTTGTTAGTTCACAGTTAAATGTATGTCTATGATACAATGCATTGTACATTCTTAAACATATACGTGCTCTAAAGAAAATGTAGAATGATGGCTTTTAGAAAATATTAGGAATTTAAAGTGTTAAAAGTTATACCTTGAGGGCAGCGAATTCAAAATCCAGGTACTCCCTGAACAAAGAGAGATGTAGAAGATGAAAGGTGGTTTCCTCAGGGGTGGCAGGTCTATAAATATAGAACAGAAAGTTACAAAAAATATACAGCATCACAAATTCTACATCTATATTTGTATACAAACAGGGGTTTCGCTGATTAGTAAAACTTTACAACTAATCTTATCTACTGAAGCTATGACTATTTAGAAAAGTTAACTTTTAATGGTAGACAAACCTCTTGTTTTTATCTTTCTTTCCTCCAAATCTGACTTCTTCTCTCAACAGTGAGAAATGTGGCTCATGTGTGGCCAACCCTAGCATCATCTGTAGAAAATCATAATATTGTCTCACTGTTAAATTCATTGAACAGTTTTATACAATACTTAGCTCTTTATATGTTTTTCTTTTTCCTTATGGAGTCTGTGATGAATAATTCCATTTAATAATCTCAATCTTAGCTATAAATTTTTTTATTCATTTACCAGATCAGCATCCAGTCCATACAGACAGTGTCGGGTATTTGGGTCGTAGCCAGGTTTAGATTTCTGACATCTGATGAAGTCCATAACCTTGTGTTCCCCCTCTCCTGGAGTCTGAAACAAATAACAACTTACTGGGATTCAAGTTAAGTGGTGCCTGTAACAAATAACAACTTACTGGGCATCAAGTTGAGTGATGTACATTTAATCTTGCCTCAAAAAAAAATTCATATCTAAAAATCACCCAAATAATTTCTTTTTCAAAATTTACGCATTTGTTTCTTTGTTTTATTTTAATTATTTATTCACTTTTTTTTTTTTTTTTTTTGATTGGGGGGGGGGGGGGTTATGACTCTTACTCAATACCTACCTCATGTCCAGACAAATACACATTCACTCCATGCCACAAAGGATCACTGGAGACTTTACTGGTGACAAAATACTTCAACTGTTCCTGTAGCTTTACCATGAACTCTGTACCTTTTACAGATAGAATACATATACTGTACAGAGGCTCATTGTACAAAATATGATGTAACAAATTACTTTTATTTGCTTGTCACTACTTCAATACTTCGCTACTTATTTGATTGTCCCTACTTGATTTTGAAAACATCCAAAAATATATATAATGATAAAGAAGCTATATATGGCACATTTGAAAATATCCAAACATGTATACAGTAAAACTTGGTTATACATGTACTTGTAATTAAGTCACTTAGAAGACCTATGAAAATACTTCACTATATCTGTAATTTGTTATATCTGTATAAGAAATTTGTAAAATCTAAATAGTTTGGGATTCGAAAAAACTTTATCTGCGGTTGTATTAAACTAGTTTTACTGTATATTCAAAGAAAAGTAATGCCCCATGTGGAAAATAAATACTTAAAATTTATTTTTTTGGGTCCCACTTACCTGGAGTGATGCAGTTAGAATCGAACCTCTTTTCTGTCGGGAGGGTCTCTCCGGATTCTCGGGCTTTTTTCTCCAGGAGCTCAGCTTCTCGAGCCGATCTGGAAAATCAAATGACAAATTAGATGGAAATTGCCATATACATTTCACCAAAATCATAGAGTACCAATTAAATAAATTGGGCAAAAAGAAAAAAAATCTGACAAACAAAAGAAATGAAACAGAAAGAGTAACAGTACTAACAAATACTCTTGATTCACACATTTTGAAGTTCTCTAGACAAACTGGTTGTTTTTCTTCCAAATCTGTATTGTTAGCAACACAGGAATTCTAAAGTCATTGCAATTAGGGGCCTTCATGCTTTTACTATAATTTTATTAATATATAAGAATACAATTATTATATAATAATTTGAATTGAAAGGAATATTAAGCATTTTTGCTACTATAATATTAATTTTATAAATATATAAGAATACTATTATTGTAAAATAATTTGAATTGAAATGAATATTAAGCATTTTTGCCCTTGTGTACGTTACCTAAATCGTCTTCCTCTCTGTTGGTTCATTTTGGCTCTTGGTGCCACTCCATCAATCGCCATGAAAAAAACTTTCCTAGGTTTAATGATTCGGAACAAAAACTACAAAGAAATGACATAATATGTTTATTTTGTATAATAGTTCTATAATTCAACATACACACTACGAAATTTTGCAAACAATAAGATTTTGTATGCCATTACTAGAACTAAGACAGTTGTTTATAAAAGAAGAAAATCTGGGAAATTAATATGGAATTCTTAAATGTTTGTTAAGTAAATACAGTACACATGTAAATTGCAGTGAGTGCATTGTTTACTAATTGTATTTATGATGTGAATGAGAGTTAGATTAATAAAAAGTCATTGTATAAATATTTTTACATAAAGAAATATTATGGTGTACCTCTAAGTAATGAAAGATATCTTTAAAGATTTTCTCCTCTGTGATTCTGAAGTGAGGGTTGTCATCTTCAGGATGTGAACAAACATGAATGATTCCATTCATGTCCAAATACAAGTTGTCAAATTCAGGAATCTGTCCAAAATATAGAAAACATTCCAGTTTACTGCATTCATTTACATTTTGGAATGCATTATATCAACTATAGAGAAAAATGTACAATATAACTTGAGCATCTTGCAAGACTAGCATTGCTTCAGTCGTCATCCTACAAGCATTGGTATGATTTAACCCTTAAGCTGTAATAAAAATATTCCTAGATTCTCATCTGCTACATTTTTTACCTCCTGCAAAAGTTGACATGATTTTGACAGCTGAAATATGGTAATTGCTGTAATATACAAGGGTTATTGGTTGTGAAAGATTAGTGATGATGTGTAGTAAGAAATAAATGTGACGACTATGACTGTTATTTGGGTATTATAGATCAATCTGCACCAATTGACCTGTAAAACGAGCCTGCCTTGATTTTAAAATAAAAAAATGTATGAGAATCTATGAATCTTTTTATTATGGCCGTAGAAACATGGAAATAAGATATCTGCATTCATCAAATGTCCTAACTATTTCTGGAAAATACAATATCAAATGTGAAAGTTATATACATTTCCTGGTAACAATAAATAGACATAGATTAGCTCTATCTGATAACAAATTATGTATGTGATCTATGTAAACACTAAACAGACACAAATTATATATTATTCTTTATAAATTTTATCCTTTACAACTGATTTCCATGCATTCAATAACTATATATTTAAATATAGTTATTAGCTTTTTGTTGAAAGCCGGGAAACATTTTAAAATATGAAAAAAATTATTACAATATTTTTACCTGGAATTCCTTAACAGTTTCACTGAGACACGGGTATCTTTCGCTAACCCATCTATAGAATTTTGGTACACCCATAATGATGACATTAAATGAGAAAGCATAGAGAATTTTTCAATATTCTTTGTAAAATATGTGTCAAGTTGTGAAACACATACAATTTTTCTACACCGGAAATAGTATCTAATATATAGCTTCTTTATCTCTTTAAAGCTGAAGAGTTCCACTTTAAGTACACGACAACTTCCCTCTCCATAATCAACTTTCTCGGCTGGGATTTTCAGTCTCTGCATTATCATAAAATGGACCTTACACAATTCCTCCCCGAGAAATTTAAGAAGATTCCCTGTCATATGGTAGTTTATTAAAACTGTTTGTTCGAACTGTCGTAAGGAATTAAATATCGTTATCGAGAAATTTAATTCCATATGTTAGCGTCAGAATTTCCTCAGTAATTTTGTAATGCATCTGTAACTTGAATTTAAAGCATTTTTAATTCTTTTAATGACTAATATTTTCTTTTCCAATATTTATAGTCTTAATATGTTCCAGGACTATGAAGGACAGAAACGTGCAGAACAGTTATTTCAAGTCATCATTGTCTTGTTTGGGGTATGTGTATTATGTTTTACCAGGTCTGGAACAATCTCTTGATTAAGCCAGATAGCTTTATTTAGCTGTTTTGTCCAAATTTTTACTCTAGGGAGTTACTTTCGGCATGTATTTGTACAAAAGGTTGCACCTTGGTGCAGTGATAAACATACCTGTCAACATGGCCAAAATTTTGGGGGGGAGAAAACGCGCGACGACCTTTTGCAAATAAAAAAACTTGCGCATTTCACAGTATTATAAAACAACAATAAACTACCTACAAGATAAAACTTTTATTATTAATATCATTAATTCATAAAAGGTATTTCTTATTCATACATTGTTTAGAAACTTATACAATGTGATATAATTTTGAAATTATAAAAATTTATGTTCACTATCTATTCCGTCTGTCCATAAGGGCATCATTTATATAATATTCATGGTAAATGTTGTAGTTTAACTTGGCAATTAGAAAAATTAAAAAGTTTCTGCAGACAGTCTGGGTTTACTTTCCAGCTTGTATGGATATTTCTCACTAAGTCTAAGAAACATGAGTTGTGTCCTTGATTTAAAGATCTAAAATGAAATAATTGTCAAAAGTTCATGCTTATATTCTTAAAATAATGTGTAATCTAGTATGAATGAAATACTTGGACCCTGTATTTTTATTCTTTTAATCTCATAACATATATATAAGAATTTTTAAATATATAGTACTTTATTTTAGTAATGTTCTAATGTGCTAATTTTATATTTTAATTTAGAAATGTATTACCCTGTTTAGCTTTGTAAATTTAAAGAAGTCTTCTAAAGACACTGCCTTGTTGCACTTTAGTTTCAGGGGCTGTTAGGCCCATATGCTGATGTTGATGCAGGATTTACTAAGACATTGAATCTCAAAATTTGTGGGGAAATCTTCAGACTCTTCATTTATATTAGCTTCCATGAAATTGTTTCCCTCTCCTTGTTAAATTAATAATAAAGTACTGTAGCTACATCTTTCCTGATCAATGTGTTGTTTATAGAGAAATAGTTTTATCTTAGGTACTTGTAAACTTATTTGCAGCAAAGTATCAAGTACTTCCATATTGTTATTTACCGTCATGTTCTGTGAAAATTTTCACATCTGGCATCTCTGTCTTTGATAATATACACTTTTAATGAGAATAAGGAGCAATTACAACTGCAATTATATCTGCTAGCAAAGTTGTCACCTTGTTGATTACCTGTTATCAGTGGCAATAAACAGATTAGCTACCAATAAACTTTGCATGACCTCCATTTTTGTGTTGACTAGTCGGTATTTTACGAACCCAAGTAGGTAAAAAATCTGGATTTTTGTCAAAATTGGTAGAAACGGTAGTTTATAAAAAATTGGTAGACAGTCGGTAGGGATGGTTAAAAATTGGTAGACTCTCGGGAGAGTTGACAGGTATGGATAATAATTTGAACTCTTCTGAATATGATGCATGTAAAAATCATTAATCAAATTGCTTCTCCTCGAAAGACTTTTTTAGGAGTTTTAGGACACAGGCACCTGATATTTCGTATTTTTCTTTTGATATAAAAATATACCCCCTTACCTAATAATAAACAAGGTACACATCAGGTGGGAACCATCTTAAATTTTTGTAGGTCGGTCACATCCAGTTGAATTTTTGTCTGAAACTCCGTAAAATAATTTCCTTGCAACCAAAGTCTTTCTGTGGCCAGTCTTTCGAGGTTTAAACTTACAGACAGTGCAACCAGAAGGGCATATCACACTTGCAAAAATTAAAAATCTCTCCTCAAACTCGATCTACCGCTTCAACAATCCAAGAAATGTACCAGATGTAAAATGAAATATTTTTTTATTGAAAGCAAAATAAGTAACGTCAGGTGCCTGTGTTTTAGGGCTATTGATGAGTGACTATACAGTTACTGTTCAATGAAAATATAAAGGAGGGCAGTTAAGGTCAAGGATAATTTATTGGTAATAATTCAGCGCATCAATGAGAAGCAATCATACGTATCCATGCCTCACCACAATCTGTTGCTAAAAAGTATCAGCTGCAATGTTAGAACTATCTCTGATTTTTTTTATTGCCCATAGAACAAACATGAATTGTCAAATACTTGGTACTATTTGTTTATTTCTTGAAAATTAAAAAAAAAATTGTAAAAAACTGCATATAAATAGCTCTATCAAGCTATTTTGAATAGCTTAATAAAGGTATACAGGTAATTCAAGCTATTGAGCTTAATCAAGAGATTATGCTGGACCTGTTATAAAATATAGAGTGACTGTTTCAATGATTACAGATCACACTCTTTAACTTTGATCCACCTCTATAAACTTCAATACACATGAGACAAATCTAGATATCTCATGATGTATTTTTATGTCAGTTGCACAATTTCTTAACAGAGCCTAGCATAATTAATAATGAAAAACATGTAAGAATAGATGTATTTTTTCCTTTTAAGCTCTGTACAAGAACTACATCTTTTTGAGGGGGGGGGGGCTGTTATTTTTGCCATTATTGCATGGTATGCTGGTAGCAAAGGAATTCTAAGAAGGTATCACACAAAAATTTGGTTGACTTATATTCCAGTCAATTCAGATTTTCTCTGTTCTTACTGTTCATGCTAGAAATAAAACAACCATAGTCTTTAATAAAAAATTTAAAAACAATATACCTGGTATGTATTTATTTATTACATAATACAATTTCACACAATTTTTACATGTACACACTTCACAAACAGAACTTTTGTTGATATGCATTTTTTACCAACTGATCCAGTAAACATATGAAAACTTCAACTTTCATTTATTTTGCATTTTTCCAGAAGAATAAAGAAATTCCCTACACTTTGTATTTCGAAAATAAATTAAACACCTATCTTAAATTGCCCTTCAGTCAAGTTTTGGTTGAGAAAGGAATTTCAGTCATAGTTGTATTGTACTGCTGAGAAGAAAAAAAAAGATTACCGGGTAGTTGTTTAACAATCATTGATACTAAAACTTTGTCTGTACAGGTTGTAGGATTTATATGGGGATACATCTGCCAGCAGTTTTCTCAAACTATGTACATCTTATTGGCTGGATTTGCTCTATCATGCATTGTAAGTAACCATCTTCTTCTTGACTTTGTAATATAATGTAGTACAAGTTATTCAACATTTATCTATTTTATACATTCAGTGTTCTACCTTTAAGACAAGTTTACATCTTGTCACCAGTAGAACAGACAAATCTGTTACAGGACCATTAACTTTACAAGAGTTACTGATCCTTTGGAATTTTGAGTTAAAATAATAGTGGGGAACACTAAATGTATTATGATTAAACTCTTCTTTGAAGTTGTCTCCTGGAAATAAAAATGTTTTTTACTGTTTTTGCAACATTTTTTTCTTAATTTGTCATTTTAGTTGACTTTACCTCCCTGGCCAATGTTTAGAAGAAAACCACTGCAGTGGCAGAAAGCACGACCTGAACCTACAGAGGATTCTGGGAAGGATTCTACTTCATCGTCCTCACAGAGTTCACAAAAATCAAAGAAAAAGAAGTAGAGATCTGCGGAGTCAGTTCCAGTGGGTGTTGTGGTGCTAAATGTTTCTGGCGTGACTGACAACTTTCATATTCAGATTAATTTTACTTCATACATCATATTGACCACTACTTTTTATCATGATAACATTTTCTTTTCTTTTTTTTTTTTTTAAATCAAACTCTACTCAGCAGCAACTTTGTTTCATAAAGACAAAGTTCAACTTGGTTCAATAGAGCACTCTACAAGGGTGTGGGTGATTGCAAGGAAAAATAGGTGCAATATCATTATATGTTTCATTTTTTGTGTTGATCTGAGAAAGTATTGTAAATAAAAAATAATGTCTCTCTTTTTTTTCTTTTATATTAACCAGGTTGGAGAGATTACTCAAAATCGGGTATAAACTGCGAGATTGTGTATAAGTAAGGAATCACTGTCTAGTTAGTATAGTATACCAGGGCATCGTTATGCAAATTATCCCATGTTTCCCACTATCATTGATGCCCCTGGCATACTATACTAACTAGACAGTGATTCCTTATATTTCCATTTCATTGTGAAATAAAATTTTAGATTTAGACTTTAAAAATGTAGACATAGATTTCAATTACACGAGGACAATTTCCAATTTCAATAGTCCTCAACCACTGATCAAACGCAAAGGCAGCTGCATGAGATTTACATGCATATTTGGCCTCCTTAGCATCAGATACAGAGACAGATGCGCACAAGATTAGCATGCATATTAGGCCTCCTTAGCTTCTGACCTATCGACCTGCCTAATTTACATTCCGGTAGAATTATCAAGATATCAACTCCGCTAACTTTCAAAGAGTTATCACAGAGAAAAAATTAGAAATGGAAATATTACCCTATATTGGCTACTGTTGAATCTGCCAAATAGGCAGTGCAGTCCACTTACCCGGTACATATGTATAAAGTTTAGCAATGTGATGGCACATTTTGCTGCTAGTTTTCATCTGAGACAAATGTATTGCAAAAGTATTAGTTGTCATGGAAGAGTTTCTAGGTTTTAGAAATGTGCACTTAGTAAAATATTATATACTCTCAGCGCCTAGTATGTTTTACATTCTGTCCCCAAAGAGGCCTTTTTAAGAGGTGTACCATATTCTCCTTTATATTTTCTATAATGCTAAAAGCATTTCCAATGCCTTATTGTTAAAATACCCAAAGTGTTCAATTTATTAATTCAACAAACAAGAACCATTTGTAAATACCATTTATATATGCACACAATGTGATAGGTAAAATTTATCAGAAGAGCCATTCAAGGCCTTGGGCATTTTATTATACCCCCCGCTTGAAAAGTGGGAGGGTATATAGTAATCGGTATTTCCGTCAGTCTGTACGTCCGTCCGTCTGTTACGCTTTTGGGTACCCATCTCTTATCCGCAACTCCTCTTATAATACTGAGTGAAATTTAATGAAACAGAAACTTTATTACATATAGTCATTGTGCACCTCCTATTTTACTTTTTTATGCCACACGTATTTTAGGTTTCCCATGGCAAAACATGGACATTGCCATTATATTCTATATTTATATCCTATGACGTCACATATAGAAGCTTCTGGATAACATGTATACGTATACAAAAATTGAAGAGTTTAAATAAGTTTCAACTTTGGCCCAGTGGTTCTTAAAAAAAGATTTTTAAAGATAACACAAAAATTTCAGTAATTCTTAATTATCTCCCCTTGATGGAAGGCATGCCTCTTCAATTGAAAATTTATAATAAGAATCTCCTCTACTAAGGGATGTTTTGTTGCAAGTTTGGTTGAGATAAACCCAGTGGTTCTGGAAAAGGAGAGCTAAAAAAGCATTATGGAAAACAGATATACATGTACATGTATGCTTTAGGCATAGAGCATTGGATACTAGTTTAGTACCAGGTATTTGTGATTTTTGGGGGGTTCTGGTCAGGTGATTTGCATCTAATCTGAATGTCCAAATTTGACAAAAATGAAAATCTCAAACTTTAACAAAAAACATTCTTGGTTGTAACTCTTTTATTTGCACATTAACATTATAAATTACAAACAACTGATGAACAGTTTCATGCAAAAAACAAAATACCAACATTCAAGCCATTTATGTTAGACAAAACACATTATGACACATGTATGTATCTTCATTAAATTGACTGAGATTGATTTCAATAGTTTATTTTCTTCATACATGTATGAACAATACTTTAACAGCATTGAACTGCTGACTTGTTTAATAAGGAAAAATAGTAAAAATGATAACATGTGAAAAATGACAGCAAATTTTTTTTGGATGCAACTACAAATTGGGGGGGGGGGGTTGTCTTAATTATTAAACAAACAATCTCTCAATAAACAATGCATGTACATGTTTTTTACTCCATGATTTAATCAAAACACTGGACTAGTTTATCTTGTGAAATTAATACAAAGTCTACCATATATAAACAACCTGGTCAAAATCAATAAAGATCATACAAGGGAATGTAAATTCATGGGTAAAGCTAACCCACAAAATCCACAAACTGGTTTCTCAAGAAAAACAATGATTCAATGGTAGTTTTGCAGAGGAACTCTAAATTTAAGTTCAGAGAATAAACCTCAGAGATTTATTAAATCATATCAAACAACCAGTTTTAAAAACATAAATATTTAGAGATTTTAAAATATAAAACATTGAAATCTCTGGATATTTATGCAAAGAATCACAAGTTAGCTCAAATATCAATAAGTATCAAATAATGATATTAATTTATCATGTAATTTTGTTCAGAATGTTAAAAACTAGAAAAAATTGGGGAAAAAAACGTAAAATGAGTACTTTATATTCTAAATAATACCTATAACTGCACTTCATATACCAGTATTTCAACAAAACATAATTTTAAATTGCATATTATACCGTAAATCTGGAAATTTTTGCGTCAATTTCATTTTGCAAATTCGGGTCAAAATGCTGTTGATTAATTTTTACATTTCAAAATTTTGCGAATGACCTCTACTTTGTTTACATTTTCTTACTGGTAGTTTATTTTTAAGAAAAATATTTTTGTGAATGCAATGAACTCGCAAATTTGCTAAAAATTTATCTACAGCAAAATTTCCAGATTTACGGTAAGCAACATTTGAAACTTAAATTCTTTGAAGTTTAAAACAGTAAATTTCCACAAAACAAACGCATTCCTTAAAATATCTGCACATAATATATGTATGACTATTCAAAATATCAAATTAGGGATAGATTAATTAGTATTGCAAACCACTCGGAGCTCCTCGGATTTTTAATACCTCACACATTAACCTCGGACTTCAGAGGTATTCTACCATCTTGCTGATTCAGTGAGACGTGATCTTATTTGAATTTCATTCAAATGTTATACTGTAACATTTAAAATCTGAGTTACTTTGTGGGACACCAAAAACTACGTTCTTTCTTTTATAGACTACCAACATATGGTTGTACTTAATTATAAGCAATATCGTACAATGAAGAATTAAGTTAAAAAACCTTTTTGAAGAACTTTATGCAGAGCAAAGTATGAAATGAGTGACAAGGCAGATTCCGGCAGGGAGATGTATCCTCCACCTATTACATCCGAGGTTTGAATGGAGTGTAGTAGAGTCAGCGAAGGAATGTCGATCGATTGCAAACCTTACATTAATACACTTTCATATGTTGCTCAAAACACACATAACATTAATAAATGTATTCTATTGACATAATCACATAATATTGCACCATTTAAATCAGTGTATTTAAGGATAATCAACACAAACTTTTTTTCAGAAATCAGCAATTTTTCTCAGATTTAGATTCCAATAGGTATCCTGAATGATGTTTGATTGGTTTGTGAGAGAATTCTGTAGGATTTTTTCACAGTGTTAAAATGTATCTTATTCTATAGAATTATACAGAAAATGACACAAAATTGCATATTTAAGCTCCATGCAAAGAAAGCCTACAATCTTTTTATTTTAGGAATTTATTAATTATGTCATTTGTATTCAAAATCAGTCAAAAAAGAAAAGGGGTATCAATCCATGAATTAAATTTTTGTCTGTGTTATGTACCCTCAAATCATGAATAATGACTACTTGATTTAGTTTATTAAGATCTTCATTTACTTTAGATATACTTATCCCAACTCAAGCATGCATTGGGTTTCCTGAAAATTAAAAAACAGAAAGCTAAATTAAAGCACCCATGTAAAACTTAAAGTTATGCAAAATAAAATGGGAAAAAACAAATGAAAGCAAAAGTCTCTGATAAGACTGAAGCTCTTCTGGTGTACTTGATATATCATAGTAAGTATAGTGTGCAAACATTACTTTAAAGTTGTCCCAATAAACAGAAATATATATCTTAGTATAATCTACTGGTACTAGTGTACAAAGTCATATGCTAATGCAACTGTGTAAAATGCGTTTTGATTGGCTAATGTACTTATGTTTGAAGCAGTAAATCGATATAGCATTAACAAGAGTGAAAAGCTTTTCGTTTTGATGTCATCACAATGTCAAAATGGAGACAAAAAAAACAGAGCTTTCTATGACACAAATCATATATCATATGATATATCATATAACTAAACTCAACTAAATTAGAATTAAAATAACTAAGGCATCTTTTAGATTGATATTTGTGACTGCATTGAAAATTGTTAACAGATGGACAGACAGACAAACACCTTTCTATTGCATAATTTCCTCTTTGTCTTTAAGCCAAAACAGAATGAAAACATTGAATAACCAAGATATTGAGGAAAAAATGCATGCATGTATATTGACAAGAGGCCCATGGGCCACAATGCTCACCAGAATAACTTTAGCCCTGCTGTTCTGCATTAGATTTGCCCCCCCCCCCCAAATATACATGTTCTATATTGTTCTACATGTTCCTGTATTCCTCTGATATTTTTTATCACCCTTTGTAGTCCAATCCTGTACACAGGGGCCCCAATATGAATACAAATGCTTCTAAACTACCACAGGATGCCTCACATCAATATGATTCATCATTGATTTGCTCTGAAGATGTTTTACAGATTTCCCCTACATATTCCCTATGGTGACCCCATCAGCCCCCTACTGGCCATAATGTGCACAATTTACAATTTCTCCTATCCAAGGAAGCCTTTACAAAAGTTTCAGCTTTTCTTACCCAGTGGTTCTTGAAAATAAGATTTTTTTAAAGACTTCACCCTATTTTGTCTTTCTTGATTATCTCCCCCTGTAAATGAGACAATTTCTCCTACCCCAGGAAGCCTTTACAAAAGTTTCAGCTTTTCTCACCCTGTGCTTCTTGAAAATAGATTTTTTTAAAGACCTCACCCTATTTTGTCTTTTCTTGATTATCTCCCCTTGTAAAAGAACTTGACACTTCCTTTCAATAATTTTAACTCATCACCCAGGGATGCTTTGTACCAACTCTGGTTAAAATTGGCTCTAGTTCTTGAGAAGATGATGTGAAAAGTTTATAGAAGGCCAGACAGACAATGGGTGATCAGAAAAACTAACTTGAGCTTTGACACATATCAATGTTCTAGATATTAATGAAGTTTGTGTACTCGTAATTTATTTAAAAAAAAAAGAAGGTCATCTTCAACATTACTAAAAGTAACAGATAAATATTGGTGGATACAGAGCAACTATCATTGTTTTAACAAATCAGAAGGCCTTTACAAGCTGACCAACACAAAAGCCCTACAATCATGTTTTTGCTAGCAACATGAACTTGAAGTGACAATATTTTAGGGGACATTGCTCTAAAACATTATAAAAATTTTTAATGGAGTGAAATACAGGAATGGGTGTATATATACCTGTAAACATGTATCTATTCTACAGAAATTCTAAAAATAAACAACTGCATTGAAACTGAACGAGTAATAGACTGATGCTACTATCTGCAGCTGTACAATCCATAGATTCTTGCAGTGTCAAAATTTTTGTGTTTTGAACTTTCTACACTTTTTACCAAGTTCCTTGAAGCAAATTATTTCTTTCAGAGTCAAAATTTCACTTATTATTAGACTATTTGTTGTGAAGAATTAAAAGGCATTTACACAGATAATTGTAAAAACAAGAAACCAGTTCTTCGATGTTATGAGTAGACTAGCTCTAGATACAGAGGCTACTAAAGGGAGAGGGCTAATGTTAAAACTAGTGGCATTACCTGATTCCGTTGTCTTTTTCTCCTCTGGAATTCCAAATATCTTTTCTTTAGTCTTATAAGGGGATTCATCGTATTGAAACACTTGTCCTAAAATAATATTCAGAGCAGCCACATCATACTTGTGGCAGCCTCTATATAGGTACAGAGGCTTCCTGTCCGTGCACCCCGTGTTTGAGGCCCCCACGGGGTTCAGGCAGTCACTAGACAGGGCACACTTGACCCACGGCAGCATCACCTTGCTGTGTAGTTTTTCCGTGTTGTGCAGAATCAGGGGGTTAGCTTGGGCCGTTTCCAGGAAGTAATACTGGTCAGCTGACGCTTTGAAGTATTTATACATTTTGTCATAGGTTATGGTTGACACGGGGTCCTTACTTGTCCAGGCCACAATTCCATTCTCCTGAGCTTTCTTTAGAAGAGGCCTAATGTCTCCAGATATAAAACTGTATCCTGAAGGTTCCACCCATATCACTGTTCCATTGTCATTTAAAATTTCCTGAAGAAAATTTAATGTTACTTAGACCATGGATAATTCAATTTGAGAGATTGCAGCTTAATAGGCTATTCTTATTTAAATTCAGCTCTGACAGACATATTGCATAGAAGTTCTACATGTACAGATAAAATGACTTTCCGCAGAAAGTTCTTAATAAGGAACCAAATTTCAGGCCTTTCAAATTCTGTTTGTACCCAGTACTTTTACCAAGCTCAAACCATAAAAAATTTATTGCGACTGCTGAAATATATGTTGAGAAAAATATGACAATTTGAATGTATTCAATTAAAATCTCTTCCTCAATGTATCCCCTATTTTTGTAAAAGTACATTTTGTTTCTTTTTTTTTTTTTTTGATTTTTGAAAGCCCTGCAATTTAATTTTTTTTTATACCCCTCCATCTTCCCCGAACAAAATGAAGAAAATCTGTGAGCCAATAATCTAATTTGTTATGAGTATGAGAACTGACACATAGCTAATTAAGGAGATATCTCTAAAATGAGTCTGTGAGATAAACTCTCTTCCTGTGAGAAAACTAACCAGTATCTCAGTTAATCATAATGAGATGTTTCCTAGATGACTCGGTGAGATAAAGTTAACCTGTGTAAGAACTGGCCTGTAGCTGAGTATTGAGATGTTGTTAGTTGACCCATTAAGTTAATATCCTCACCTGTAAGAGCACTGGCCTGTAGCTGGGTATGGAGAGGTCTCTAAGATGAGATGGATACTTTTCAAATTCAAATGTCTTTACTGTACATGAAGAAGTTTTGTTGCAATGAACAGTCAACTGTAATATAGTGAAGAAAAAAACAAAGAATTTTCATAATCAAGAAATGTAGGGATAGATAGTTATCTGACATCCACTAGAAAATTATTTAGTGGCTCCCATATAAGTTTCTGGCAGGGCACCAGTTAATACATTTATAAAAGTGATTGAGTCAGCTCTTACTTTCCATATAACTAAAATTAAAATGATTTCCATTTCTTTAAAATATACAATCTTAAAATGTAATACCAGTAAGCTAATTCCAAGTTTTTTTTTTCAATGTTAAGTATCTGCTTGCACTTGTTTTTTAACAACTCATATCACCCACCCATCCACCCAAACAAATTAGGAGTCCAATAATTGATTGTTTTCATCAAAATCATTGAATTCTGTCAATATCTATTAATAATTATCTACAATATCTCATATTAGGTATATTTTAAGCATTCAATACTTTGAATTTGCTAAAGAATAGTTCTTTCCATGAGAAAAGTAGATTAATGAAATCAAATTATTTGAATGTTGTCAATTTGATAAATATTTAGTCTGTGTTCTTTTTTAGGGATGTGCGATTTTATCGGTATACCGGTATATCGCGATTTTTTGTTGCGAGATACGTATCGTGATACGGATACCTAAATACCGGTCTTAAGGTACATATTATAAAGTCCAGAAATTATTCATTTATTTGTTCAATCTTTTAAATTACATTATAGAAATTATAAAAAATGTTGTAAAAATTGAAAAGAACGGCATCTTACTGTCTAAACATAATTGATTTTATATGCATAAAAATTTCAAGGAAGTAAAATTTTGTTTTTATAGCATATTTTTTAGAAAAATAATGACTTTTCTTAGAAAATCATTGTAAAAACTGCTTTTAAAAATATCATGATATTATTGTGATATTGTGGGGAAAAATCGTGATATATCGCGATACGAAATTTTTGGCGATACCCATCCCTATTCTTTTTAATAGCTCTTGTGTTTTTTTGCAACAATTAAAGTTGGTAGAATTTTTTTTTATTGGAGGATGCTAAACAGAAAAAAAAATTGGAATGCCCTAATGGAAAATTAATATACATGTTCTTACATATTTTTTTTTTTTTACAATTCTTTGACTCCCATGAACAGACTTCAATGTATCCAAAAAAGTAATTTACTTGAAAAAAAAAGTAATTAGCCACTTTGCAAAATATCAGAAACGATGTATAGCTGAACACATATATTACTCATACCTTTAAATGTTTTTGGTAGCTTAGTCCTAGATCATATATTATAACAGGAACATCTGGTAGAAATTTGCCAGCCGATTTGACAAGTGCAATAACTTTATCTAAGGATTTTGGAAGAGCAGGTATAGCTATAACAGGCTTGTTGATTGTTGCATTAATCTTTTTAATTTTATCCTTGCTGAACTTCATTACATTTTCTGTATTAATGGGATCTACATCAAATCCAAGTTTATCCAACAATTTGAGGTCTACATGGAAATCCTCCTGATTTGAACTGCGAATGTTGCTTGGAATGTTTTTGAAATTGTTAATCTGTTTATGGGTTTGTGCAACAATTGTGTTAAAATTTGGTGTTGGATTACTTAGTAACCACAAAGACATGGAAGTCGCTCCCAAGAAGGCTAGCATAATATAAAAATTTTTGGTTTTCATCTTTTCCCTCAGACTAATGCTTTTCCACTTTTGGCACAAATTTTGAACAGCATCTAGCAACTCTTTCATCACATGTGCTCTGTGTTATCAGAAAGATAGAGGGTAAAAGACTTTACGTCCATGCATCAACAATAAAGCTTGGTTGAGAGTATCTGCTCTTTTGTTCAATCTTGGCTGTCATGTTTGCAGTTTTATTATCTACATATTGATGAACAGTCCTTTGAACTTTGTAGCATCTAAAACAGACAAAAGAACATTTCTTCATTATGCCAGTAAGTTTTATGATATATACACTTAAAATATTCATTGCTAGTTAGATACTTTGATATCTGTTTTAGTCTTATCACAGGCACCTGAATTTTTATCAAGAAGTCTCTAAATTTGCCAAATATCGAAAAAAAAATTCTACCCCCTCTAAATATATATATAGAGGGGGTAGAATTTTTCGATATTTTCTACCCCCTCTATTTATAAATATAGAGGGGGTAGAATTTTTGGATATTTGGCTAATTTAGCGGCTTATTGAAAGCAAGCACAGCGTCAGCATCGCTCGTCACTGTAAGCTCTTAAAGCAACACCTGTGCAAAGAGAAAATTTGGACTACTGCACATTCATTTGATAGAATTTTTTGACACTGTAGTTTGGACCCACAATGCATCACTTGTTTTAGCTACGTTCTTGCGAGAATAACGGCAAAATGAAATGTTCAACAAAAAGTTTTCTCGCCTTGATTTCATGGATACATATTGAAGATAAATAGTTAACGGAACATTCTTCATTAACTTTCAGCACTGTTCAGGTTTTTTCTTTTTATTGCATAATTACTTACATACGACGTCATGTGACATCAGAGTCTAGACGCACCAAATGTCACGTGCGGTTTGATGAGCCCGATCTAAATTAAAAAAATAGAAGAGTTTGCGCTTTCTCTAACGGTTACACCGTCAACATATTAAAAATTCTGGTTCCTGTGGTCTACTTTGTAAGTAAAATAATAAATTTATTCTTAAAATTGAATTATATATACAGCTGATATAAACAGATGATCGAGATATAACCTCCTCCATGAATAAACCATGATTTGTTTTTAATTTCTAATGAGCTGATTACATGCATCATACATAAGGCATTGTATATGGACCATTCTTCAATCAAATGCAGCTATGTAATGGTGCATATGTTACTGGGCTAGTCTGCTAATTAATGAGTAATGTAACGTTAGATAACTAGATGGCATGAGTGTTCACCTCATTTCTGTTTACATTAAAAACTCCTCCAGTTTATTAAAACGAATGAAGAGCTTTAAAATTTATCAAACAAGGTTCATTGCAAAATATTCTAGAACAAATAAATTATTACCTTTTAAAAGAACTTATGATGTAGCTAGTTCAATGTAGCTTCCAAATGGTCAAACCGGAAATAAAAATATGAAAGTAAAAGTATGAATGATCCGCAGGGAATTGGTATTTACAGCGACTGTGCAGACGGTATTTTGCTCGGCTGGAAAACGGGCAATAAAATCTTCAGGATAGGTGTAAGTAGATGGCACAAAACTTTAGAAATATATGAACTATTTCATGCCAAAATAGTTAAGAAATTCTTCCAATATTATTAGTTGAATGTTGCATTTCATCTTATTTTTTTTTTTCAAAAGCACAAAACACAAACGCCATGTGTATCAGCAATATGGATACAACTCGATGCAGTAGTTACCCTCCCTCCAAATCGGACAGCATAAAATAGCAAATATTTAAGGTGTTAAATTGGTCTCTTTTTACTGATCCATTTTAAGGTTGTTGAATATTTAAATTTTGAAACAGTTTTTGTCCTGGCTATCTGTCTGTTTTAAAAGATAAATCAGTTTGTCTGCAAAAACTTTTACCAGGTCCAGTCTAAAGACTATTTCTACCTACGTAGCTATTAATAGCTACCTAGGTATTTAAAGCTACCAAAAGTAGCTATTTTTACCTACTTTATATAATTTCTGCATTTTGCGACCAAAAGACCAAACGGCGCAACATGGTAAATACCATATTTTTTGATACGGTCACACTAATGATGAATACGACAAAATTTTGACCAAAAAATGATTACTTCCTGAATCGGCAATTTTACATTAGTTTCTATGCAAAATTGATAATATACGAAGTTTTCATTTTTTGGCCAAATTTTTTTCATATTCATCATCAGTGTGACTGTATCAAGAAATTGTGTGCTCATCATGTTGCGCCTTTCCTGCATTTGGCCACAAAATGCAAGTAAAGCAGAAAGTAGGTAAAAATAGCTACTTTGGGTAGCTTTAAATACCTAGGTAGCTATTAATACCTACGTAGGTAGAAATAGTCTTTGGACTGGACCTGTTTACTTTGTTCATAACTTTTGACAGAATGGAGCAACATTATACATGTAGCTTTCATATTTCACAGCTGTATTCCTTGTTACACGACCTTTCTTTGGGTACCTTCAAATTTTAACCTCGTGGCCTTGACCTTGGAGTTTGGCCCCTTTTTTATAAAAAAAAAAGAACAAAAAAACTTTAACCTTGACAATAACTTTTGAACAGTTGGTGATCAAACTTGCATACTTCACATGTGTATAGGCCTACCGTTCAATTATTGGTAAGATTTTTTTTATCCTTGACCTTGGCATTTGACCCCGGATTTTGTAAAAAAAAAAAAAAACCAAAAAACTTTTAAACCATAACTTTTGTACAATTAGTACTAGGGCTTTCATATTCCACAGGTTTATTCCTTGTGAAAAGGCCCTCCCCTTGATACCTACAATTTTGACCTTGTCCTTGGAGTCTGAATTGCATTTGAGAAAGTTCAACATTTGCCATAAGCTGCCATATGGGTGCAGTGTTTCACAAACACATCATTTTTTAAAAATTTTATTTTGTTTTATTTTAAAGAAAAGACTTCTAATGAAACTGGTAGGGATGGGAGGTAGCACCCCTTCAAGTCCTTTCCTTAATCCCTTTCCTGAAACCTTGCATTTGATTGATTGTATGCATTGATTTTTTTAAATCTTACATTTTGCAGAAATGGAGGGAGAAATATTTGCATCTCCAATAGAACCCCTGTTTAATCATGAACATGCATTGGAGACAGATATTTTGCAAGACTGGTTGATAAATCTGGCAAAAAAGAATTTCAGGCACATCAATCAAGCACACTCTAAACAGGTATGCACAACTATACATGGAGGAAATTTGAAATTATATACATGATTGATATTTTTTTTTAATACATGTTATTTCATTTATGTTTGATTTCAATTTAAGGGCTTGTTCAAACAAGTGAATGTTGTGGAGACTATCATGTATGCTTCTGAAAAATTGAAAATAGCACAAGAAGCCAAATATCTTGCAATCGAGTTATTTGACAGGTATGGATACATATACAGTAAAACTTGTTTATTCTGGACAGCAATGATTCCATAAGAATTGGCTGAATTAGAAAATATTCAAGATTAGACTCCATTTTTTGAAAATTTGTATCAAGTAAAAAAGGACATCATTATAGATAAGAAACCAGATTACACAATATCTGGATAAACAAGCTAATTCAGAGAATTTGTGTCCCCCACTTAAGGAAAAAGTAAAACATGCCCAGTTTGAGGGGAGGGAGAGGGGAGAGTTGGATCCCCCTCACTGAATTTGTAGAATTATTAAATGTATACATGCATGTATACTGGAGCAAATAAAATATACCGTTATGGATATAAAGATTTAATTACTTATTCTTTATTATGTGTATAGAAGATTCTTTTTATATGGAATATTTATCACACTGTAATGATGATTTTATGAGTTTGTACAAGCCAGACCTTGTAAATTTTTCATTTTGCATGCTGAATACTATTATTTAGTCAAAAAAAAAAGTATTTCAAAAAAAAAAAAAGTTGTCCGCCCGGGACTTGAACTCGG